AGAAAAAAGGGAAAAAAAAAAAAAAAAAAAAAAAAAAGAAAGCTGCCGGAGCTTCTGCACAAGGTTAATGCATTGCCGATCGCGAGAGGGGACACTCCGATCTCCATCACCAGTCGACATCTACGTCCACAACTTTCTCGATCGCTTGGCGTTAATCCAGATTTAACAAGGTCAGGAAATTCAATGTCTTCTAATCCAATCCACACCACCATGGAAACGCAATCTATAAAGTAGAGGGTTGATCCCCAGCAGGACTGAGCATCTGGCTCGCATCCTATCCATTACCAGTCTGCTTTTCTTTTGCTCTATGAATGACCTAATTTACAATGTCACAGTCATACAACCACCTCTCGACCAATACAAACCTCCGCGACGAAAATGGTTTCTGTGGTCTTCATGGCTACCAACCATGCAGTTGTGCGAGGCTCTACATGACGCCCACGGTTTATTCTCAACACAGCAACCATATAAATCAGTCCTCGACGTACCAAGCTTCAATCCCGGCTCCATGCTTTGACCTGAATTGTTGTCAATCGGATGGTTCGACTCAAGCTCCAATCTTCATCGGCTCCCAAAACTCGCCAGACGAGGGGTACAATGCCAAATATACTTCCATGAACGACACGTCCAATGCATTTACTGGTGTCTCTTCCCCACATATTCAAGCGAGCACACCTCCAAGCAACATAGACCCTACTCATCTAGAGGGACGGACAGTCTATTACAAGAAGCCGGCTCAATCACACAACCCGGAGTAAGCCGTCTATCATCAGGTCGCTGCCGTCAGGAAATCTTCATCTCTCATTAACCATTACTATAGGGATCCTCAAGTTCCTTTGCGGTGCTACTGGAAGGGGTTCACATGTGAACATGGGTTGATGTTTCCCAACATCGAATCGCTGATGAATCATGTGGAAATGAGCCATATCAATCCTCAACTCCAGGCAAATCAGCAGTCGTAGGTTATCCAATCTCATGGTTCACTATCTTATTAATCTGCTAACTCCAAATCTGCTGTATTAGTGGCCACATCGGTGGACTTAAATGCAGCTGGAAGGAATGCACTTCTGCCTTCAGTACAAAGGGATCTTTGGCGCGTCACATTAGATGGCTACATGTCAACCCGTCCTCATTTCTTTGCCCCTTTTGTGACAAGTGTTTCAACCGTGAAGACAACTTGGAGGACCATTTGAGCAAGTACCATCGGATTTCAACTTGGTGGAGACGCTGCAAAGGGGAGTGTTATTGAGGTTGATCGGGGATTTGTCTTCAATTTTGAGGGAGGAAAAATAGACATGGATTATGAATGGTGAATATATAATGTGAACGGGGTACATGATACATAAGTACATTAGGCGAGAAGAGGTAAGGAAAAATAGAATTGCAGTGATTTTGCACATTTTGTATTTTCCTGAGTAGGTGCAAAAAAGCACTTACTAAGTTACAATTATACGTAACAAAATATAGTATTGAATATAATTTACTGTTGATGACGTCCTTGCAAGTAGAGTGGATATCACTAGTCGCATCATTGATTTGACTTGCATCGTAATCACTCTTGACTGCAGTTAAAGAAATGGACACATGAGATTAGTCTACGATATGGTTTACAGTTCTCCTGGGGCCTCTGGACTTGCAAGGCGTTAATCGAACGAAAAGGCAAAGAATAACAAGTGGACCAAAAGATCGGCAGAAATGATGTCAGGTACAAATCAATTGTAAGAAATACTAGTGGTCAGGCTAGTCCTGTTGGTCAGGCGAGTTGAACAGTGGGGGGGATACAGCAATCAGATCAATTTCCCAAAGAATACCGAACAAGAAACATAGACTCAGCTGGGATGTTCCTGCCAAGCCCCTCTTGCATACTCCGTACCCTTGATAGGAACGGATATTCCGTTTCAATGACTGTGAATTGATCCAATCCATGTCTACTTAGGTGAAAGTGGAGCAAGTCTACCGCCAACTGAAATTCTGTGACATTCATAAAACAAACTAGATCTCACTAACTACCCTAAATATTACTAAACCCCACGAAATAGCAGTCCCATGATCTTGTTCCTGGTATCTTGCACCCTTGGCCCTGGTCCAGACAAGGGGATACGACGGGACGTATGCATGAATCGGGTTAGGGAAGAGAATAAAAATAAATAAAAATAAAAAGATCTTATGGAACCTTTTTTAAACTGTCACCTTTATCTAGTTAGCAAAGCAGTTGGATGTTCGGAGCCTCTCCATGCAGAGTAAAGATCCCCCAGACTTTCCACTTTCAAAATCCCTCAGGATAAGTAGGAGTAGTGTCCGATGTCGTCAATCTCCACTATCTACACTTGTCACTAGTGGCAAACTCAATTTGGCAAGTAAATATTCCGCTTTAGTTAACAGTGTACCTACCTAGGTACGTCAGTAAAGTGCTATGGACGGTTTGGGCCGCTCAGATCAATGGTATCCAATCACCAGCTCAGGATGTCAGATTGGTTGGACTTTGGAATGTTCCAATGTTCTTCTTTAAATTTGGTCCTTGGTCGTGCAGTCTTCTGGATTATTCCTTCTATTGTTACTTGGCATTTGATGAACTCGTGCTTATATCTGAAATGTACCCTTAAAAAGGATGAGCCACTGATTAAGTGGATCCAGACCGTTTTCACGGCTCCCGAGGTCAATCTGAATGGTCTGCCTCATCGTTGCTCACATCTGATCACCACATCGTGATTGGCTGATATGACGGGTGCCTACCTAGTTAGGTGGTTTCAAGGATTATGTAAAGCTTAGGAGCGTGCTTAGTTTTACTTAGTGAGCAAAAAGCGGCCAGAGGTGAGCACTAAAACGGAAAGGGAGGGCCAAGAAGTGGCAGGGGAAATCAAGTACGCAGGAAAGTGTCTCAATTCATGGATACGACCTATACCTTTCTTCCGTATATCCTGGAAGAATGGAGGTGGCAAGGCCGCCCGCATCAACTTTTAGCCCTAATTTTAGGGGTTTTGTTAGCAGGTTTTACTTCCCTCGCCATTTTCTCTTTTCTAAGAAGTTCGACTCTGCATAAATTCCCATCTCACTATAGTCAAAATGTCGATTACCTCTCTGCCTACGGAAGTGATATCTATGATCTGCAGTCATCTATAGCTGCCTGAAGGGGAGATGCTGAGATTGTCATGTCGCATATTATACGAGAGATCGTTGGATCACTTCAGATTCAATAACGAATTCCATATCTCTAGGCCTCCATTCGTTGTCGAGGCCCTGTCTAATTTCCCTTCGCCATACATCAGCATAAGCATCTTTCCATTCTCCTACGGAGTCTATTGCCTCCTGTTTGGTTCTAAACCCTTCAAAACACGCAGTAGTTCTGTCGGTCTGTTCTTTCGCTTCCCTATAATCTATAAGCTGTCCACATTTCATCACAATAAGTACCATACTCACTCCTAGGAATCAAAAACTCTAGTAACCGCAGCCCATAACGGCGTAATACTTCTTTTCTTTAAAAATTGGCTTGGCCTTTTCCTTCGGCTTTAGGCTTAACGTCTTCATCCCAATCCACGAAGCCTCTTAATCTTATCGCTTCTCGAGCAGCTCTAGGGTCCTTGAACCCTTTTTTGTCGTCTCTGTTGTTGCCTCTACTTCCTATCACCCGGAGGTGCGTCTGGCTCCTATGACAGAGATATTAGGTCAAGGAATGAAATTTCCTATTTTCTCGAGCCTTACTACGATAGAAAATAGTAGGCTTGTCGACACGACCCGTGAAAACCATATGAAAGTCGCCATTTTTGTCGACATGCGATGCCATAATGGGATTCTACTTCTAATGCCTAGTTCAGGGACTCAGATCCTGTCCTGCCAAACGACGCAGAGTTATAAAAAAGGAGATAGTATTTATGTGCTTTTCAAACTGCGGGGATTAGAATGTACCCACATTCTTCACCTTTACAACAACATCATTGTCGCCGATACTCTCCTTGCCACTTCACACCGATTGGTACTGTAAACCATCACGTTTGCGTGAATTCACCAGGACACTGTTATTATACCCGGACATGGACAGGCGGCCCCCTTTACTCGTCCTCGCCCACCTGCGCTATCCAGGAAAGACATGTGAGGGCGCTGATCGATGAGAATTTATGTCTACACTTTCTATGAATTATTTGAGATTGACCTGAGAATGAGATTGCATTGCCAACGAGGCGGAACTATAGAGTCCAAATAGAACTTCGACGGAGAGTGAGTATAAAAGCACGAATGCGTAGAGATGGGAAGAAGAGGTACAAAGAGACATATAAATGGAAAACAAACAGAAGACTCACATGCGTATAAAAAGAAAGAACGGCAAGGGCAAAGAGAATATGCAACATACCTTCGGAATCTCATCCATCTACTGGTCTGCATCTAGTTGCTATCAGTTTCGACAATCAGGTCATGTAGAAGTTCCAGAGAGCAAGACCAGCCATCTTCAGTTTTCTCAACATTGGAAGGCTCCATCTGATTATTATAATCAACGCTGGTGCCACAAGGGACCAGGCATTCGCGCTCAAGCCCGGCAAGCACTTCCACAGTCCAGCGCTGACACTCTTGTACAGGGACTGCTACTATCGCTGACTTGACCTTGTTGATCTCGCTTGCGGCAATAGAGCCGATATATTGCTTTCGCGAGATACCGAAACTGTCCATTCTCTTCCCAGCTTGGATCTTACGCTCGTAGTCCCCATGTTGCGTAGGACCTCCGACAACATGATACCAAGTACAACGCAGCGACCCATGGTTAGCAAGCAAAAGCATCCAATGCAAAGGACCATTACCTCTTCGCTGACAGAATGCCACATAGACGTCCCATGAGTCAACCATGTCTGATGAATCAGTAGTCCTGGTCAAAACCAATCGAGCCTTTTCCTTTTCCAAAAAGTGCGATTGTCGTTCGAGAGTAGGATTGTTGTTTAGGATTCGAATGAAACTCGAGACTGATATATTAACGGTTGGGGCCGTCTAGGGACTTTATATATCTGTCCCTTGGATCCTATTCCCTCGCATACAACGGCAGACACTCACTCTTTATGAGCGAGGAATAGAACTATGCGATATAAAGCCTATTGTCTGGGATTGAAATGAGTATGATCTTTAATAACCGGATAGATATATATAGCTTTCACATATGCTTCGCTGTCTACTCCAAGAATTACGCGATATAAAGCTCATTGTCTGGGTTGAAGTGAGTATAGTCAGTGACAGCTAGGCTGATCTATGCGCTTATTGCACGCGTCTTGCTTATTCGACCACCTTGCATGAGATGGCTATTCATAATACTAAAATAAAAATAACAAAATAACAAAAATTACAAAAATAACAAAAATAACAAAGAAATCGTGAAACTGATCTTTGGCATTCATTCTAAAATAACTATTGGAAATTGTCCTCGTAGCTTTTCATATCGCGCTCTTTCGCTCCCTCAGATCCACGAGACGTCACAAAATGAATACCCCGCCCTTCTAGTCATCCTACTGCTGGGTGAAGAGCATTCGCACATTATTATTTCGCTCTATGGAAAAGGCAGCAATGCTAAAGGGTTCGGTCATGTACTTCTTGCCGCCGCGAACCTGCAAGCTCGACTTCCCACAGTGAAATTCGTCTTTCTGACTGCAAGTAAGCGACGGGCAATGAGGTTCAAAAAGATGCCTATCAATCAGTGGTTTGACAACTACTCAATTGAGGACCCTGGAGAGAGAACAGACTTACAAGTCGAAGGTCTTTGTGAGACTGCGGAATTTATACGTGGCTTAATTAGCGAAGAGGTTCGCATCTTGGGCGCGGGCAGCCATCAAAAGATCATCCTATGGGGGCTAAGTCAAGGCTGTGCTGCGGCTGTCTTCACTCTGCTAAGTGGCTGGCTCGATGCTAGCGAGACAAGCACGATCGGAGCATTTGTCGGGATGAGTGGATGGCTGATCTTTGAGCAGCAGTTGCGCGAGATTCTCCGATGCGGTGGAATTCCTGTGTCGACTAGAGACGACCAGGAAGCTCAATCCGATAGTACCTCAGGCTCAGACCCCTACAATGGAGAGACGGCTAAGCAAATTCCAACAGCGATGAAGAGTCAGACGCAGGTGCAGACGTCTTCTCGGAACTTGATTTGGATGATGATCCATTCAAAGAAGCAGCCCTTCGTATGGCGACTTTGATCCCTTTTCTGATGACGAGGAAGAAGCCTCACTGCTCGCCCACGCTATCAACCATGTTCGGGATATTCTTGAACTTCCAGTGGTCTCAACAGAGGATTCGCAATCACAATTTGCTTCCATCATCTCCAGACGCCTGTTGTTATTGGCCACGGCTCTGAAGACCTAACGGTTTCTGTAGAACTTGGTAGAAAGATGTCTCATATTCTTTCAGCCGGGTTTGGGATGGATGTGATTTGGAAGGGATATGAGGGGCTCGGGCATTGGTATCGTGTGGAGGATGAGATTGAGGATATCTTAAGATTCCTTCGGGATAGGGTCGACCTTCCAGTGAAACAAGTGCCAACCCAAGACCAATGCGAGTAAAAGGGTAAAAGCCAATAACCGCTTTTTGATTTCCATAGACTTACTCATATATTGCCACCTTCATAATGTCTTCCTTATAGCAATTAGTTGCCTGGATTCATCTGTACGTCGTAAGTTACTAAGGATAGTACTGCATCAATCTCACGTAGATGCGAGTGTCTGTGATATGCTGTCATCTTTTACGTAAGTAGAGTTTATTTCATTTCAAGAGACTGCCGAGAATTTGTGATGCAGAACTATTCTACATGCAGATGCAATCGCTAGTACCCAGGTTTCATATACACCTCACTTAGATGTACGGGTAGATCGTCTTCTGCCAACAACGGTGGGCTTTGCTTTCTCCTCTTCAAAGTACTCACTCTTTACAGTGGGGTTCTTTTGTTTCGGGCCTCCTCGCTTCGGAGTCTGTGTCGCTTCTTCCACTTCCGAGTCGCTTTCTTTCTTTAGGGCCGCACGTTTCCGTTTCGAATTAGCTGGTGTGGATTTTGTGACGTCTTCATCAATATCTTTGGCAACAGGACCAGTTTTCTTCTGGACAGCTGGGACAACGGCACTTGTGCGACCTCCAACGGTAAGGAAAGTGATCTTATCCCCATTAGGTAGGACGGTGGGATGGTTCTTCTTCCCCTTGCCCCAGCGGTGCTTGAAAAGCCAGTGCTCGGGAAACTTCTCGGAGTCTGCCAACACACCAATAGACGTGGAGCAGACATAATGAATGGCAGAGTGTAGCTCCTTGATCTGATCAGCATTCAAAGTGTTGCTGTATTGTTCCGGGTGTATCTTGGCATGATAGAGGATCTCATCTCTGGAAATAATCAGCTTCGGTAAATTTGATGGTTTTTGTCTGAGCGGAAGACCTACCCCATCCAATTTCCGATTCCACTGATATTCGCCTGGTCGAGCAGAAGAGCCTTGATCGGCACTTTCTTCTTCCCCAGCTTCTCTGCCAGCCATGCTTCGTCCACGGAGTCTTTATCGGTGACTGGATCAGGCCCGTTTTCCTTGAGCGGAGTATGATTTCGGATCTCATCAGCGGGGCAATCAACCAGTCTAATGCGACCAAGCCTGCGGGCATCCACGAATGCTGCCTCTGTTTTCGGCTCGTCGCTTGTCTCCAGCAGGAACTTCCAATATTTAGGGGGCCACTCCTGATCTGCAGGCTTGTCGGATCGATAGTAGTATGTGTCGGCATCCTTGATCTTCAACCAACCAGCCATCCCAAAGTGCATCACAGCGTGAGGTGGTGAAGACATTGTGATCCAGAAATATTTCCCTTGTTGGCCTGCTCCCACTATCCTTTTCCCTTGCATTGCCTTCTGAAATTCGGCGGCACTAGTGCCAACTTTGCCAAATATAATATCATCATGTTGTGCTTGTACTTTGGACAGGGTTTTCCCAACCAGGTGCTCACGAATGAAATGCACAATGCGGTGGATCTCTGCTAGCTCAGGCATGTTGGTATGGTATTTCAAGTATCAGTGGTAAAAACATGGAATAAATGGACTAGGACATTTACAAGTGCTTCTTCTCCGAAAGACGATCTGGCATAAGCAGGGACGCGATGCCCCTGGACGCGAGTACGCGCTGTCACGTGCATATCATGGAACGAGCTAGTCCCAAAAGGGACCGGAGCTTAAGGCTGATTACGGCATGACGACGGTGGTTTACGGAGAGCTTGCTTGGGCTATTCAAATCTCACTGACAACCTTGGAATTGCTTTTTCGTTACTTGTGCTCATAGCATATTATACTGGGTCTCAGTGGAATATACCTCAACATCACAATTATCATCGCTACGCTATACAACGCCATCAGACGACCTCCATCAAATAACAAAACTCACATCCCCACTACAAACTGGAGTGGTTCTGGATCAAATCGAGTCGAGAAGCTGGGGAGGAAATTCGTGGGACAATGTCACAGGCCTCATCAACAGCTGCTCCGGCGCTGACGCCTAGGTTCTGTTTCAACGAGAGACTACTCAGAGGTTCGTTTGAAATGTGCCGTCATGATACCAGCTTATATTGATTTTTCTTATTTTTCCAGATTTTCTCCGACTTTCAAGATCTACCATCGATGACTCGATTACACAGAACTTGAACGCGTTGATTACACCAGCCCAGGAAGGATTTGACCCGTCATCAACAGCGGTGCGACAAACCGAGTCTAGCTCTCGGATCAAGTCCGCAGCCTGTCAGACCTTCAAGGATAATGTGTTATTCCCGTCATGGCAAACAAGATCAGATGTTCTCACTTACTGCGCTGGTGTGGCTACGAGTCCGGATCCCGATGATCCCGACTTGATTCTTCGACAAACAGAATCCGCCCGAGATCGGGAACGAGAAGTGGATGAGCGTCTGGACCCGTACTCTGCTCGCTTCTTTCCACGTGAAGCGCGGACTGAGTCATTGGCCAATTTAATTCGCAATGAGCGCACTATTGAAGAGATCATTCGGGCCCGAACGTGGGGGATGGTGTCAGAAAAATGCGGCGTCTCTTCCTCTATTTGGGAAGAAGCACTCGATAGCTGGCGCCATTCGCATCAGAAATAACTCCTTTGGCAGGGGCGTGCTACAGTACACTAGGATCGCTATATAACTCAACTCTTTAGACTCGGGGAAGCCTCCACCCAAATTGTACATATTTTCACCTTACATTCCTGATGTGTACTCTGATTTTCTGCTTTTGTATGAAAAGGGCGAGATAGTATGATACATAGTCCGGAGACACCTACCTAGGTAAGAGAAGTGGCTTAGCCATAGACTATGGTCGGTTTCAAGAGCTTAAGAGTACCTGAGCAATCTTTTCTAGTTCAACATATAGAAAAAGAGTGCATTGCCTTTTTGCTGTCCTCTTCAAGTCACTCAAAAGTTGCATTACATGTACACAACCACGTGTGCATCACGAGATGTGGATTTTGCACCCTATACCGCCTCAGTAAAAGTATATGCGAGCACAAGTGCGTAGTCAATGGATTTATGTATTCAGCCTGATCTAAAACAGAGATTTAGTCCACCTGCTTCATTGCTTGTCCTGAAGAAGTTGGTGCACACTATCTCTTATCGGCCCATTAGCTCTGCCAAGATCGGACTCGGAGAAGTTGTCCCCCGCACACATCGATTCCACACTCGCACAAGTCAGGTCCCTCGACGTCAGCATCGCCCACAATGCCGGAAACATTGAGCTCCAAGGACCATTCCTTGTTTCGTCAAGTGGTTCACCACTTTGAGATGAAACAGTATAAGAAAGGTTGGCCTCTGAAGTGTCCTTGAACTACCTCCGCCTGTCTAACCACGTTTTACTTCCCAGGCATCAAGACAGCAGACCAGGTTCTTCGCAAAAACCCAAAACATGGTGATACGCAAGCTATGAAGGCTCTCAATATGAGCCAGATAGGGCAATTGGAGGAAGCCTTTGCGCTCGCAAAGAAGGCTCTCCAGAATGATATGAAGTCGCATATCACCTGGCACGTCTATGGGTTGCTATTGCGCCAGGAGAAGAACTACGAGGAGGCAATCAAAGCATACCGATTTGCCCTGCGGCTCGAGCCTGAATCGCAACCTATTCAGCGTGATCTGGCACTGCTCCAGATGCAGATGCGGGATTACCAGGGATATATTCGGAGCCGCAGTGCGATGCTGCAAACTCGTCCTGGCTTCCGCCAGAACTGGACGGCCCTCGCGATTGCCCATCACTTGGCCGGGGATTTGGCAGAGGCCGAGAAGGTTCTGACTACCTACGAGGACACATTGAAGGGTGCTATACCACATGTCGCCGATATGGAGAACTCGGAGGCCACCTTGTACAAGAACACGATCATTGCGGAGACTGGAAACGTCGAAAGAGCTCTAGAACACCTCGAGGCTGTTGGATACCGATGCACTGATGTGCTCGCAGTCATGGAGATGAAGGCCGATTATCTTTTGCGACTGGACCGCAAGGCCGAGGCGGAGGCCGCATATACGGCTCTCCTAGAGCGCAACCCAGACAGCTCGATTTACTACAATGGCTTGATCAAGGCAAAGGCTATCCCTGAAAGCGACCACAAGGCATTGAAGGCTCTATACGATGAGTGGGTGGAGAAAAACCCCCGCTGTGATGCTGCTCGTCGTATTCCTCTCGATTTCCTGGAAGGAGAGGATTTCAAGCAGGCCGCTGACGCCTATTTGCAGCGCATGCTGAAGAAGGGTGTTCCTTCATTATTCGTAAACATCAAGCAGCTTTACGTCAACCCGGCCAAGCGTGACGTGGTACAAGAACTGGTGGAGGGATATCTCTCTGACAAGGCAACAAACGGCTCATCGGAGTCCAACGGGGACAACAACGAGTTTCTGTCATGCACTTACTACTTCCTGGCTCAACACTACAACTATCACCTCAGCCGCAACCTCCCCAAGGCCATGGAGAACGTTGAGAAGGCCATTGAATTGTCACCAAAGGCTGTGGAATATCAGATGACCAAGGCGCGGATCTGGAAGCACTACGGGAACCCAGAGAAAGCAGCAGAAGAGATGGAGAAGGCTCGACTTCTAGATGAGAAGGATCGCCATATCAACACCAAGGCGGCCAAATACGTGCTCCGAAACAACGATAATGAGAAAGCTCTGGAACTCATGAGCAAGTTCACTCGCAACGAGACTGTCGGAGGCACATTGGGTGATCTCCACGAGATGCAGTGCACCTGGTTCTTGACCGAGGACGCCGAGGCGTTCCTCCGACAGAAGAAGCTTGGTCTTGCCCTGAAGCGCTTCCACTCGGTTTACAACATCTTTGATACCTGGCAGGAGGATCAGTTCGACTTCCACGGCTTCTCTCTCCGCAAGGGAATGATCAGGGCCTACGTGGACATGGTGCGCTGGGAAGACCGCCTGCGCGAGCATCCATTCTATACGAGAATGGCTCTCGGCGCCGTCAGGGCACACCTCCTTCTTCATGACCAGCCGGATCTCGTGCACGGACCGATGCCCAGCGGAATTAACGGACTCGATTCTACCGATGAGAACCAGAGGAAGAAGGCTCTCAAGAAGGCCAAGAAGGAACAGCAGCGCTTGGAAAAGATCGAGTCCGACAAGCGTGCAGCGAGGAAAGCGGCTGCCGCTAATGCCAAGGGTGCTGATGGAGAGACTAAGAAGGAAGATTCTGATCCCCTGGGCAACACCCTGGTCCAGACTCAAGATCCCCTGAAGGATGCCATGAAGTTCTTGACGCCTTTGCTTGATTCCAGCCCTCAGAACGTCGAAGCCCAGTGCGTCGGGTTTGAGGTTTACTCTAGGCAGAGTGAGTTAATTTGGTAGACTCGAAGACGGGACCTTCATGCTAACACGATTATAGACAAGCACCTCCTTGCCGTCAAGTGCCTCGCGGGCGCCCATTCCATCGATCCCTCCAACCCCACTCTCCACCTCCAATTGCTTCGCTTCCGCAAGTCTCTCGAGAGCCTTGCCGAGCCTCTTCCTGAGAAGGTTGCTGAGGTTGTCAATGCCGAATTTGACAAGCTGCTTCCAAAGACCCAGAATCTCGAAGAGTGGAATGAGTCTTACCTCTCGGCTAACAAGGGCAGTGTCCCACACGTGCAGGCCGGCCTGTCTGGTCGTCAACTCCTGAAGCCTGAATCCAAGCCGCAGTGCGAGCAGGACCTGCTTGCTACTCTCGATTCCCCCGATATCACTATCGACGAGGCCACCGCTGCTTTGGACATTCTGAACAAGTGGAGCAGTGATAAGACTGCTTACGCCGAGAAGGCGGGCAAGAAGTGGCCCGAGTCTTCAGTGTTTGAGCTGAACTGATTTGATGCGAATGGAGGACCGTGTGACTCCCACCCCCATCCCCGCTTCGAGCATGAGTTACCTAGCTGCCTAGCAATATAACTCAGCTGCAGGGTTGGGACAACAAAAGAAGGTTAAAGACATAGAGAAAGACACGGGATGAGCAAATATACTCTAGTATTGGCCGATGCCAAGTGGTGTGAGTATACAGGTGCTGGAAGAATCCAATGTACCAGTATCTATTGCCAATCAAGCAAGGGCTAAACGTAGAACAATCTACCCCAAAAGTCAAAAACACAATTTCCATCAATGTACATTTCTAAAATGGGACATCAAACGCCTTTAATATACAAGCCGAGGAGGGAGTCACAATATGCTAAACAAAAAGACCAACACATGCCGTGCCGAATGCCAGGGAAGGATCTATCCCGTAACCGTTATAGTATATAACCAAACTTCAAATAGTCAAGATCAGGCAGAAAAAGTCCGAAGATCTCTTCACTGTCCGTCTTCTCCGTCGATGTTACCCAAGATGGGCTTACGTCTCAGGACCTCATCACTCTCACCGTAGCCGTAATCGACCCACATGCGCTTCCAGAAAGGCACAGGAGCCGGCCGCTCCTCGCCAAGAATGTATTCCTGTTGCTCGGCGATGCGTTGAGAGCGCGCCTCATCTTCGGGAGAAAGGATTGCGCGCTGCATGCGCGAGGCAATACGCTGATCAAGCACGACATCATCGAGCCACTCGCGCTCCTTCTCGTCTTCTTCGCGCTTATGCACCGACTTGTGCCACTCGCTTTCTGCAGCCTCCATTATGGTCTGCTGCTCATAGTTGCGAGGGGGGAGGTCGGTGAACGAGCTGTCAGGAGAAGGGGTGGAGTCAACGCTGGCGCTGGTGGGCTCGGAGTCTGCGTTGGAAGTGCCTTCGTGGTAGGGTCGTGCGTTATCCGCGAGGACAAGTGCGGCAACTTCGCGCCCGATGTCATCGGCAAGGTAACGTTGTGTGAGGAAGCGGTAGACTCGGATCGGGGTGTTCAGGAAGCCAAGAAGATGGGGGAATGCGACTGGGGTGGAGCTGTCGAAGGACTGGGGGATGGTGTGGGGGAGGATGGCGGACGAGTATTCGCTGGGGTAAATGTATGCAGGAGTAGGACCGGCTGGCTTGGCGGGCTTCTCTTCTTCCTTCTCTTCTTCCTTCTCAGGTTCCTCGATCTTAGGCTTTGGGATCTCGTCCTTTTTCTCTTCAGAGAACTCGGGGGAATCGATGCTCGCAATCTCGGGGCTCGCGAGACTAGCGGGCTTTTCCGCACTGAGGTCCTCCGATGTATCCGCGGTCAACTCCTGCGCAGGCGGAGGTGGTGCATCCAAGGGGCCGAGCCAGCCCTCGTGCAAGCCTCGGATATACTCCTTCCAGGTGTGTCGGCCGATGACCAAGTCACCCTTGGGGCCCGGTTCATCACTGACTCCAATGTGTGCCCGGGTGGCAGCAACGACTGCATCCATACCGACCTCTTCGGCGGTTGAGCTGGGCTCTCCGGCCTTTCGGCGCAGCTTGCGAATGTTTTCCGCCGTGCTGGCTCTCACGTCGCCCTCACGTCGCCCTTCGACCACAGTGTAGTCCAACGCAGCGGCCACTAGGATAGGCTTGACATATTCCTTGAAGTGATCCCGGGCCACACGCAGGCCATCTCCTGGTGGCGCAGCCAGGTATACCGTCATTTTCCGGCGCATCTGGTCGATTGGCAGAGTTTCTTTCGAGATATGAGCCACGAGCTCTGACCACTTTTGTTGCACACGACGCTTCTCCCGACGATCATATATAAGAGCACCAGTGAATGATCCAGTGATAGTAAGGAAGATCATCCAGTTGCGGGAGGGCAGTTTGAATCGCATATTAGGGAGGCCTGTTGATCACAGCAGTATTAGCGACTTTTGGACCGTTCAAATCTGGGGAACAGAGACGTACCCATCATTTTGAACGCTGGGTTAGGCGGCTTTGGAGCCGCCTGGGGCTTGCCAGCACCTGAGGGCGCAGCAGAGCTCGAGGAGTCTGCCATTGGGCTGTATGATGGCGAAATAGTCTATATGTATAAATACAGTACAGCGCGATTGCTCGTAAAATTGTTGCCCCGGGATTACCTTATCCCGCGTACACGTGACTCGATATAAAAATTACCCCGAGTCAGATCGTCGGGGTCGACTCTTTTGAGACGGCCGTCTCGAAATATAAATATCATTTTAGACTCCTCGCCTTGGCTATTCGGTTTTCTGGCTACTCTAATCGTTTGGTATTTCAATTATCTATGTGAATCGTACAAGAAGCAACTGCTTGACAACACAGCATGGCCTTGGGGCCCTCGTAGGGCTTTATGCTTGCCATAGAAAACCATCGTTGTCTGACAACATTTTTAAACCGCAGAAACTGAGGTGCTTTGCGCGGGGAATAGAGAGCCTCGCTTTGCACCGGATGATGGTAAGCTGGGACAGCATAAAGGACGGCTAGGGATGCATGTGCTATGTAGAGTCAGAGGTCGAGACACACCGTCTTTGAAGAAGGTACCCTTGAGACATCTGGGAACACCCACCACGTGGACAGCCCGTGGACACTTGACCTCCACCCGTGGACCTGGGCAGGGCTGATACATGATGAGTCAAGAGGTTTGATATGATCGAGTCCACGGGTACATACTTCGGCCGTAGATTTCCACGTGGAAAACATCTGGCATAAGGCGATTGTGAGCTCCTTTGTTTCTATTTTCACTCATTTTTTGGTTCTACTCCCTTTACCCTGATTCCGCAAAGTAAATACTCGATATTCCTTTATCCGCCTCACTAAACTATTTTAAAACGCAGTTTCTACTTAAAATTTTTATTATAAAACAGAAAGCCAGAAACGATCAGATACTTCATAACGAAAAGCCCTAGTTCACTCCCTTTGAAAGCCACATGATTTTACCCTCGAAGCCGGGCATTTTTCTCCATTCACTTTCATCGACGCGCCTTCCTGTATGGAGTTCAGTGACGATCTGTATGATGCCTTTTTGATGTAGATCTTCTGCAAAATCTGTGGCATCCAAGATTCTCGTTATGGGTGTCTTTTGGCATCTTTGGGGATTCCGAATTCCACTCTTTTCGCCTCTTCCCTTACCCATCCCAAGCCTTGTCACCCGTCCAATGTAGTCCCCATTTTTCGTTACAGGTTCAAGGCTGCAAGCTTGGGAAACGAAAATATCGATCACATAGGTTTCCTGCAGGCAGGATATCCCAGAGAAGACAACATATGGTGTATGCCCTGGCCGATAAATTCCGATTTCACTTTCTGGTTTTAACCCGTTTATGTTTTTCTCTGGTAACATGGATACGGCCGTCCCACCAGTTGAAGCGGCTGCACTCCGAAGCTCCTCAGAAATGAGTAAAAAGTCCGGTGATTTCGGCGAGCCGTACAAGTACCGCATCGCCTGAGTGGGCTTTGCCATGTCCCCTAAGGTGGTATAGCGATACTCCCGCGGCTCATCGTATGCAAGAGCGGATGCGTTGTCCACGAAAGGGCGAAGAGGGAAGTTGGACGAGAAATGGCGTCCACGACCAGTGCGGAGATAAATTTCTGCAATGCGATCCATGTTTCGCATGATAACTAAGGAATATAGGGTCGAAGGCAGTATAGGAGTTATCAGCCTACTAAGGGTTAGTACTTTCTTAGCTGGGGAAATGAAGCAGCGAACCATATCGGGTCCTATCCACCCATGATAATTATCATGAACCTGTTCAAAAAGCCCATCAAAATATTGACGTGCACTTGTGGGATAAAGGCTATCTGGTTGATTCTCGGAGAAATCGGGAATATTGCCCCATGGATAGCCATGTCCTTGTTGGAGAGAGAATTCCTTCTGACTCAACGCATTCGCAATTTGTCGATGGTATAGAGCAAACATACCGACTTTTTCGCTCCACTTGGGATTGCTTCGACCATCAATCAGCTCCTGGTAACGCTCCACATATGGAGATGTGCCAGACTTGTTTGTGCCATTCAAGGAAAAAGCATATTTCAACGGATTCTTCCGTTTCTCACCACTGGAGTGAATGTAAAACTCATCCAAAAAGATCGAGGGTATACCAGCGTCGGAAGAAGAGGGGTCACTTGATTCTGCAGAGAATCCATTCCAGTAGGGGATAGGGAAATCAGTCAGTTCCTCCACGTATTTCAAGTACGCGCGGTGCCAAAAAACAAAGGCTTCTTGGTAATGGAGGCACCACTCAGCATCTGAGGCGTTTGTTAGTACTTGCACCTGTCTGGGAAACTTCAACTTTCAAGGGAGACATACGAAGCAGCCCGAGCTCCTGCCATGGGCTGTTTAAAGATCGAACTTCAAGGATATCGTCCAACTTCTCACGATAGACTTGTATCTCTTCTTCCGACAAAAGGAGAACATCTTTCCTAATCCTCAACTGCATCTTCGAATCCTTCACCTCCGGGATCACTTCCTGATGTTTGAAAGAATCTTCAGCGGATTTCCGAAAGCCTTGGTTTGCCCATAGACGCATTGTCTCCAAAGCTTCTTTCGGCCAAAAGTGATTTGAGTTCTTGGTGATTGGCATGGAACGGGAACGGAGGTGTTGATAAATGGTCACAATATTGTATTGGACAGACTCTAGGGAAGACAGGTCCAAATGGAGATGCTTGGGAGCGGAAGGGCTATAGTCGTGCATTTGCGAAATCCAATGTCGACCAACAGCCTCAGGATCTGAATCATCTATCCAGAACGGCCGACTGAATAGATAGACAACATGATCGTCCCATGTGGGATACAGAGGGACGTTGAACTTTGTAGATGCCATGGCCTGATGCAGTAATATGGTCTCTTCAATGATTGCACCCGGATATCAGGACGAGTGAATGTAGCAGAAGAGTGAACAGATTAGTCTCAGCACCCGAATGGACAGACGCTTTTATAGGTACTCACTACACTTGGGCTACGTGTGGACGTTATCAATTCTTGTATTACTCATTGTTATTTCCGTTTGTGATCCAATTCCGTATCCGTAATATGATAATGGAGAGAGATATGCAAATACCAGTGTCTACTCCGTATTTATTAGGATGTTTACTTGAGTTGAGTGAACAGCAGTCCTTCGTTGGCGATAAACAAGCCTCTAATCGCCCCACGTAATGCAACTTCCTATTTCGGATTCCAACGATATTTTTTTGGCTTCAAAAGTCCCCGGAAATTCCGGCTCGTTCCGCTTGTTCCTTCTTGTGCGTCGCTTAACTTATCTCATCTTTATCAAAAAGTAGCCCCATTTCCGGTTGGATTTGGCTACCGGTCTACAGGCAATCATCTATAAGTGATTGATAGCGCCACCTTGCATTGCTCTTCCAATCCACTTTGCCTATTCCATCTTCCTCGCGCAAGGAAAAAATGTGTCAAGACGAAGTCGGTCTTAATGGCTGGACCAGCGTGCCTGCTAACGCCGGCGCTATCTTCAATGATCGACGTTTGATCAAGGAAGCTGAACCACTTTCACTTGATCAGATCCCATTTCCACACGATGATCCCGCAGTCGCGAAGACACTAGACTACGTGAAAAGAGTCCTCCATCCCGAGACTCTTAGCCACTCCATGAGAGTTTATTACTATGGTATGCACTATAATGGAAACTGAGATATATCGAGGCATTATACTCACTCTTATCCAGGCATGGCAATCACCAAGCTGCATTTTCCAGACACTTTTGTCAAACTTAACCCCAGCACCTGGGCTTTGACAACCTTGCTGCACGATTTGGGCACTGCTGAAGAGAACCTGACTGGAACTCGGATGTCTTTCGATATATATGGCGGTATCAAGGCGTTGCAAGTTTCAAAGGACTTCGGTGCATCTTCCGATCAGGCCGAAGCCGTCGCCGAAGCGATCATTCGCCACGAGGATATGGGGGTTGACGGGACTATCACTTATATTGGCCAATTGATCCAATTAGCTACGACCTATGACAACACCAGCGTTCATCCACATGTGAGGAATTTTGAAAACATGGTTCATCCCGCGACTCGCGAAGAAGTTGTCAAGGCCCACCCCCGCCTGCTCTGGAGTGAGTTCTTCGCCCGCACTATTCGGAAGGAGGAATCCATCAAGCCTTGGTGCCACTCGATTCATCTTGTCAATTTTGCGGAGGAGATCGAGAACAATACTTTGATGAAGAAATGGGAATAAGAAGATCCTTACAGAGTTAAATCGCATATCAGATGTTTTTAGTTGCTTATATTAGGATCAGATCTTTGGTCTCTACCTCACCCAACCCCTTCTGATAGATACTGTCCAGGATATAACCTAGGTAATCAGTGATAATAATCGAGGTATATTTACAGATTAACGAGTGGATCTGATTCCATGGACCCACTCCCTGAAACTTCCCTTTCTGGAATAAGGTTGGCAATATCTATTCCGATTATATTGTTGTTATTGAGCACGATATACACTCATGCTTTGAGGCTTTGGCAGCACAACACGACAGTTTCCCCAGGGAATCATAGGTGACATACTAAAGGTCGCCTATAAGTTCTCGTTGAGAACTGCGGCCAGCGGTAGACGAACCCAAAGTAGTCTAGCGGGGTGTTACTAGCGGAAGAGTGCATAGATAGGTAGTCCTTCTCTCTGCTGATTCTCAGCCAGATCCAGAGGGGTGCAATTTGCAGGATATAAATGGATGGATTGCAAGATTTAGTGGAACAATAGACTACCTTTGCTGATGGAAAGAAAAAAGAATATTCGACCATTTAGTGTCTCTTTCATCATTTCAAGGGAGCCTCAGCCTATAACTACGAAGTGAAAGATGTAGAAGATAAATTCATAAAGAAGAGGCCAGAAAGGAGGGCAAAGAGTCACCGCTGTACAGAGCTGAAATGTACGTACGCTATCGAACCTTCCAGCTATGAACTTGGAATCATCCAATTGTAAAATCTCTGATGAGAGACTTGGCCCCCTCATGATCCCTGCATGCCACCGGCTTTGATAAGAACTGACCCGACTGGGCGGGGGTGGCGTTGGCTTCCGTGTCATTGTTCTCACCAACCCCCGGCCCCCGAGGCCCCAAGACGCATCCTCCACTATAAATGACCATGAATCCCGGATGGCTGGAGCTGAGCCGGCTGAGCCAGATTACGCAGCTGGTATTACGCAGTCGGAATATTGTTGTTTTCCAGCTATAGAAGCCTCGCATCAAAACTGTGATAACCTATGATTCTGAGTCCCTTGGACTGCTCTTCTTCTTTTGTGTTATCAGTTCTTCATTCAACATCCCACCATGCCGGACACCATGAGCTCCACAATACCAGCTGTTGAGCCTCAACTTATGATAAATCCGATGTAGTCAATACGTTGCAAGTCAAGGAGCGCTACAAGAAAGACAGAAGCGCCTCCGCGACGATGGAAATGCACAGTACATCGAAATTTCGAATTCAGACGATTATGGGCGATTTGCCGAAGATCCATGGGCTGATCCGGCGTCGATCGAGCCAATTGAGAGCAAATTTTCGAACAACCGCATTGAGATAGTCATCATTGGCGCTGGATCGGGTTGCAGTACGCCGCGCGCATGGTCGAAGCAGGTATTCGCCCTGAAGGCATTCGCATTGTTGACCGTGCTGGTGGTTTTGGTGGTACATGGTACTAGAACCGGTACCCGGGATTGGTGTGTGATATCGAGAGCTCTATCTCCCGCTCTTGGAAGAGACGGGGTTCATCCCGAAGCACCGATATTCGCAAGGTGGAGAGATCCGCAAATATACTAGTCTGGTTGCCCGGGAATTCGGGCTGGTTGATTGCGGGGTATTTCAGACACAAGCGCAGAAATTGGTCTAGCATGAAGATACGAAGGAGTGGCAAGTTGATCTAGTGCAATATCGAAAGGACAAGGCACCAAGAGGTCTCAGCATTCGCTCCAGCTTCGTGTCGCTGCAGGTGTACTCAACTGGCCAAAGCTACCGAGTATTCCTGGAATTTTGGATTATCAGGGGGATATGTTCCATTCATCCCGTTGAGCACATGGTATTACTGGTGGTTCTCCTGAAGACCCATCACTCGTCAAGTTGAAGGATAAGCGGGTTGCCATTATTGGCACTGGGGCGGCCTCTGTGCAAATCGTTCCACAGCTTGCACGCTGGTGCAAGCATGTGTATGTTATACAGCGGACGCCTGCGGCAGTCGACGACCGTCACCAGAGAAAAACCGACAAGGGATCGTTCCATAAAGAGGCGGCTGGGTTCAAGGGCTGGCAGCGAGAGCGGATGAGAAACTTTCACGAGCACTTCACGCTCGGGGAACACCCAGCAGTCAATCTAGTTGATGACGGATGGACTCGTGCGCCTGGCTTAGTTGGACTTACCGGCAATCCTTACGGGCCAAAGCTACCGGAACAAGTTCCGGCTTATAATGCAAATTTGGTTGAGATCGACACCCCTCGACAGAACCGCGTTCGTGCCCGAGTGGACCAGCAGGTTCGGGATCCAGCTACGGCAGAGAAGTCGAAGCCTTGGTATCCATCCTGGTGCAAGCGTTCTCTGTTCCATGATGATTATCTGCAGACCTTCAACAAGATAATGTAATACTAGTCGATACCGACAGCAAGGGGGTTGACAGAATCACTGCTGATTCCCTAGTCGTCGGCGGCGAGAGTTATAACGTGTACATCATTATGTTTGCCACTGGCTTCCGTGCACCGCCTTCAGGCACGCCAGCCGACAAAGCCAATTTGACAGTGATTGGCAGCAACGGTATCTCTATGAGTGAAGAATGGTCACGTTGTGGTCCAACAACCTTACATGGTGTCCTCGATACCAAGTTCCCGAACCTATTTCTATCGGGTCCCCAGCAGGCCTCTACTAGCGGTAACTATCGCTTTAACCTTGATGAATATGCAAAACATGTGGCATATATACTCTCTGAGTCAAACGTCGAGCCAATGGGAAATCTTTCGCTGTCGCTCCAACGACTGAGGCGACAGAATTTTGGGGAACACAGGTCATGATGCATGCAGCGCCAATGGCAGTTGCATTTGGATGTACGCCGGCGTATTGGAATCTTGAGGGTGAACTTGATCGTCCCCCCCCCGAAGAGTACCAAATGATCTTTGCTCGCTCAGGCCTGGGATCAGGTATTAAGCTTTGGCTTAATGTCATTGAAGGCTGGCGCGTCGAAGGTGCTATGAAGGGTACTGGTGTGCTGTCTAGCAAATGACGGAGATAATTTAGCCTACGATAGTGATCTTGAACCAAGTAACTTTCGAAGCTTCGCACAATCAAGTACTAGGCAGCCCTGTATTGACTTCCGATCCTAAGAGCTCAGTAAAAGTAGGATGGGAAAGTAAAATGGACGAAAGACCACAAATGTAAATGGCTTATAATATACGTAAAGAGTTAAGGGACTGAAACTTGTAGTCTCACCAGCCTTGCTAATCTTATGAGTCTTTATAGGGCTTCTAGAATTTGATCATGCAAGCAAGCCAAAACGACTGGTGTCGGCTCTGCTCATCTGGAGACGTGCCATAAAGTGAAACCCAGTTTTGTCAACCATCCTCTGTGGTGGTTGCTGTGGAAAGATGAAATGTACAGAGACAGTGTACTACTTTATGTTTCCTTGCATTTTTAATAGACTTAGTTCCCAGGGCTAGCTCGTTTGTTCCCGGTCACGTGCTCTGATTATGTAATATATCCAGGGGGACTCTTGTAAAAGCAGCAAGAGCTGGGGACTAAATAGGAAAGAGAAAGCCAGAAAACCGCCAGGGCTGTACGCAATGCCTTGGATTCCAGTGATCTTCAAGGGCTCATCCTAGAGATCTGTGATCTGTTAGATAGTACATGTATGTAAAATAAGTTCTTATCTTATAAGATATCGATGTTAGCCCATTAGTACACTGGAACACTGGCAAATATCTCCCTCGAACTGTTTAGCAGCCTGCTTATAGCAAATCATTGGATAAAGAGAAAAGTATCACAGAAATTGGGAACGCGCACAGTTGTTTCAGGGTCATTCGCGTGGTGTAAACATGTAACATGTAAACAATAGTCAACCAGTCACGCTGGGGCTAGATTGCCTCCTGAGCCACCGCTTCTTTGAACTCCCCGCCCTCGTCCTCAACTCCCTTCCTCCCAACTTTCTTCCCCCCATCTACCTTGAAAAAGTCCCTTGGGAGTTCGAGTCAAGATGGATCCCAACAATAACAATCGCAACAACATTAATTACGGCTATGACCGTAACTACAATGCCAACAACCGCGCCTATCCCACTACCCCCTCCGCCTTCCCTCAGCCCATCTATCAGACTCAGGGGGCCCAGGATTACGTCGACCCCTCCAATCCAGCCTACGCCCCGGGTTATTTTATGCCCAACCATTACCCACCCCAGCAGGTACAGCCGCAGTATGTCCAACAGCAGCAGCAGCAGTACGCGCAACAGCAAGCGCTGCAATCGCCCCAGCCCGCATACCAAGCACGCCCGGGCTACCCCGACGGCACCAACGGTCTGATCCAGCAATTCTCCAACCAGGACCTCAACGCAAACCGTGCAGGATTTTTCAATAATCGCGCTGGCTCCCCAGCCCAGCGGCCTCGCACCGCCGGTGGCTCCCCCGCTCAAACACAGGCCCAAGCATCACACTTGATCCCCCCCGTGCCCCGCAGCCCTCGCCCACCCCCCGAGAACGAAGAGTTGCAACGCTTCCCTGATCGGTACTCCGAGAATGTGCACAAGCGAGGCAAGGCAGCGAAGGAGCTGGTGACTGTATTCTTCCACGAGAATATCGAACGGGCCCGTGACCGTAACATGCGGTAAGTATCCATGCCCCAAATGGAAGCCCTGAATTTTGTTCCGCGGTTGTGGCTTACACATTATTTTCGCCCCTACAGATCGGCGGAACTTGACAAAACAATCCGTGAGCCCAGTATCCCCGTCGAAAAGAAGCGCCAGGATGCCGACGGGATTTCCAAGCGAGAATCCGACTTCCTTCGGTTCTTGCGCACAAAGGAGACACCGGCGAACTTCCAGACCATCAAGATTATCGGAAAGGGCGCTTTTGGTGAGGTCAAGCTCGTGCAGCGCAAGACTGATGGCAAGATTTACGCCCTGAAGTCGTTGATCAAGACCGAAATGTTCAAGAAGGATCAATTAGCTCACGTCCGTGCCGAGCGTGATATTCTGGCGGATTCGAAGGATAACCCTTGGCTTGTGAAGCTTCACGCATCGTTCCAGGATGCTGCGTACCTTTACCTGCTGATGGAGTTTTTGCCCGGTGGTGATTTGATGACCATGTTGATCAAGTACGAGATTTTCTCTGAGGATATCACACGGTTCTATATGGCCGAGGTCGTGATGGCAATTGAGGCCGTGCACAAGCTTGGTTTCCTCCATCGGTAAGTGATATTCGGTTTTTGATTGCGAGTTAGCACATTGGCATGTGCATTTTCCCCCTCTCCAAGGAGGAATAAGGTGCATATGCCAGCATGAAAGACAATCCATACTAATGACTCTTTCTTTGGTAGTGATATCAAACCTGACAATATCTTGCTTGACCGCGGTGGACACGTCAAGCTTACTGACTTCGGTCTGTCAACCGGAGGCAAGAAGACTCATGACAATGCTTACTACCAAAACCTCCTCAAGAACTCTACTTCCAAGGATCGGAACCGCAACTCTGGATACTTCAATGATGCTATCAATCTGACAGTGTCCAACCGTGGTCAGATCAACACCTGGCGAAAGTCCCGTCGTGCCATGGCCTATTCGACTGTTGGAACTCCTGATTATATTGCTCCTGAGATTTTCAACGGTCAAGGCTACACTTATCTCTGCGATTGGTGGTCTGTCGGTGCTATCATGTTCGAATGTCTCGTGGGCTGGCCTCCGTTCTGTGCCGAAGACACAAATGACACCTACCGGAAAATCGTCAACTGGAGAGATTGCTTGTACTTCCCTGATGAACTGGTTCTTTCGCGTGACTCCGAAGCCCTGATCCGAAGGTAAGTTCTTATTTGTCTAAAATCTAGAAGGATCACCCACTAACTGAATTGTCTAGTTTCTTGTGTGACCCGGATCACCGTATTGGCAGCGAAGGTGGTCAGCACGGAGGCGCGACACAGATTAAAAACCACCCCTTCTTCAGGGGTGTCGTTTGGGACCAACTGCGCGGCATCCGTGCTCCCTTCGAGCCGCGCCTCAGCTCGAACATTGATGTGTCGTACTTCCCAATTGATGAAATTCCTCAAGAGGATACCAGCGCGATCCACCGCGCCCAGGCCCGTGCCATGCCGGACTCGCAGGAAGCCGAGATGAGTTTGCCATTCATCGGCTACACCTATAAAGCCTTCAATGCCTTCCAGACCAGTTAGGTTTGTTGTGTTCCGAGACTGATCGATTCTTGGGGACAATGGAAGCAAGCAGGGCTTGCATCTTTTGTTTCTCAATGGCACTTCTTTGTCGGTCAGACAAAAGCTCGGTTTTGTTTTTACCTCGTTACATTATCATTGAGCATATCAGCGCGATGTTGTTTTCCCAAATCATGACCCATCTTCGGTTTCACTTGTTGATACATATGTATCTAACGCCTTGCATACTTCTCAAGACGATACACACACTACTTGTCACATTTTCGGAGAGACCCAGTTGATTTTAGGATAGTCAGGATATTACCCTAAAAAATAAAATGCACTTGTCTTTTCTAACTATATCCGCCTTTCACAATACGAACTTCATAAACTCGGCGGATTCATGGTGGAACGCGCTTTGAGCCCGTAAAACAGAGAAGACTGCATTGCATGTTAGTACATCGGCCATAAGCAATGACTTGGCCGGTTGCCCAATGCTATGACTGCTGTTCTGCGGACTCGCTCGGCCAGCTAGGTAATACATAGGACCGTAAGATATGGTTCTAGGACAAATCTGGACCACTAGAATAGAGAGACATGGCGATCTGTACGCTACCACCCTAAGGATGGCTCGATGTAGCGTAGGTAGCATTTCTAGTGAGCTTAATCGTTTAAATGATATGCTGAGTGCTTATAAGCTAGGATTATATGATATGGCATGTGTTGTCTCCTAAGAGTCAAAACTTCTGACATGCCGACATGTACTTATACAGTTGAGTCTAGTGAGAAATGGAGCTGGATAAAGTAGACATGTAGGGATCAAACTTGCAATTTAAAAAGGGTATCAACATAACAAGAGTTCAGGTCTGCATGGGTGCTAGACCAGGCACACCACTGAATATTTCCTCCCGCTCAGTCTTGAACATAACCTGAATCCAGAATTCCTTACTATCCTCATCGAACCAAGTCCAGTAGCGTTCATCCCGGCGATCAACTTCCCTAGCCTGCAGTTTAAACGCACAAGTCTGGTAAGGCTCCGCAGCAACAACCAAGTACTGGTACTTATTATCGGGCGTATCAACCTGCTGCTCAAAAGCTGACATGAAGCGCACACGGGGAGTAACACCCGGGGTGATCTCCTGGAACTGCAGCTGGAACAACAAGCCCTGCTGGCGCGTCAGAGGGTCCAAGATCTTAGTGATTTTGTATCCGGGTCGGCCGATCTTGATCAGCTGCTTCTTGACCTGCACACCCGCAACGCCGGGCATAGACGATCCGTCCTGGTTCTTGCCTTCGCGCGCCTCGCGCGCCGCTCGTCGGGCGAGGTTCGTTTGGTGCTTGCGTCCCTGCGTGTGGGCGAGGTACGAGCCGTCGTTCTGGTGCACTGTCAGGCAGAGTCGGCACTCGAAAAAGCCTTGATGGTTCTTGAAGATGTAGGGGTCTTTTTCGATGT